TGTAAACGTTTTAGAAGTTGATGGCACGAATAATAAATTACAACAATACGTCAATTACGTGATCGATTTTTTGAAGGAGAATGTTTTTGGAGTGAATAAAATTATGAGATTCGTGAACATAAATCTGGCTTAACGTTTTGAATGCGTTTCCTTCAACGTTTTACAAAACAATTAAATTGCAACAATAATTTATTTGTGTTTGTTTTTAGTCTGCAGCATTTGTATTTCGAGAATGTTTCAAACTCTTCTAAATTGTGAAACATAATGTGTTCATTCCATTAAAAAAAATATTTGCCCTGTGACTGAGCTCACTAATATTCATAATTGTAAATAAGTTCTGTTAATGAAGGAAAGATATGTAAATGATATGCAAATTATTATGCAAATTAGCCCCGGCGCTATGAATTTTTTCTGGGGAGAACCCTGGTAGATCCATGCATACTATACTACCGGTAATTGAATTTTGAAATGACTAATGTGATAGCCTCAATAACTATTCTATAGCACAATGATGTAAGGAAATAATACCCACTATAAAACAGAATACGGTGAATACTTATATATTGAAGTATTACAACTTGTATATGGCTAATGATAACTTAATGTGCAAATATAACATCCTAGTCGCTACACAATGGCTGATAATTGTCATGACCTAGTGCTAACAGTGTCATTTAAATGCGTCATCAATCCGACCCGAAGAAGCTTAGGGCCTACAAATCTTTCAAAGATGTCAAATTGTGTTGCAACATTGTGTGGCTGACATGCAGTACACAGTGATTTTTGAAACAAGTTCACTGACAACCTTATCTAGCTTGATTTGAATATACAGCATTCAATGCCTCATGCAGTCACTGGTATTGGGTCTGGATGCAACTCCATAGGACCTTTTCCTACCACAATTGACAAAATGCAGAGATCAAATGTACTAGTTTTTAGAGATTCAGTGTCTAACAAAATTGTCTGTTCGAAAGCTGACACTGATTGCCCCTTTCAGACTGTTTTTGGAATCATACACCATACATATATATTTGTGCTAAATGCGAGATTCATTCTTACATTTGCTATAAGCACAACATTTAACTCCAAATGTAGCTTCAAGTATCATATTTTTTCGTGATCAAGGATTTCAACACACACAACAATGTGGTTGCCACCATATTAAACTGAAAGCTTGACGTGTGTCACATGACTCAACAGGTCCCGCAGTTTTTTGTTTTTTTTTGGGGGGGGGGGGGGGCACGGAACAAAAGTGGGGCACAAAAGAACTCTTTTCACATGGCAATATACGTTTTTGGAAAGTCATTCTATAAGGGTAATCAAAGTAAGCTTAGAAAGAACTCTTGTATGCCAATAGTATATAGACACATTCAAATTAATTTAAAATTTAAGATTAGCCTTGGCAACTAAAACTTGTGATCCACATTACTGCAGTTTATACAGGGTTCATACATTTAAAGTCAAATGAAATTCCAGAACTTTCCAGGAGTTTTTCCAGGACTATTTAGGTCATTTTGGGTCCATTTTCCAGGAGTGATGGACAATGAAATATTTTTTTTTTCAAAACACCTAAGCTTTACAGACATGTTTCTCTATTGATTATTCCTTTAATTTTTGTATTTTTTCCTCCAAATTGGACGACACACGCAATTTCATATTTTTTCTCTTTAGCAGTTCTTCTGAGACTATTTGATTTTGTTACAAATGTTATGTGTCTTGCGGTATCTGCCTTCTCAGCATACTTTTCGGAAGAATTGGTTAATTCACACATCAGCCTTGAGTCTTTTCTTTTTTTTCCAGCTTTTCAATCTCAGAAAGAATGCCTTTCCTTATCCTGCTAGCGGCTGCACTTTACTTCTGCATTTTTTGCTCCTCAAGATGGGCAATCAGTGTTCTAACTATGTTGGCATGTTGTACCAAGTCCATGATACACCCCGTTTCGACTCCGGCTTGCTTTTCCTTTTAAGTGCATGTTCTTGATCTTGTAAAATTCGACCTCTCAAAATTAGCGACCACCATGGAAATGCTTCTGACCAGGACTATTGTCCGACTGTTATTATAATTTATGTACCGACCGACACACATCCTGCCAGTCGTGGATTATAATTTGTAAACAATAGACCTAGTCGCACGATACATGGGCGCTAGTCAATTTTGTGAAATTAGCACCTCTTTGTAAGTAAATACTTTCTGCGATAGACAGTCTTTAGATTGAAAGCTAAAATTCTTTCAAAATCAATTCCATCTTGATGTAACATGGTCAAAGCGTAGTTCACGATCAGTTTACGCTACTCAAGAACGAACGTGTTTATTGCGTGATTTAGTAAAATTGATTTGAACTGTTATCAACGTGAATCATGTAAAAACTCTGCTTTCAAGACCTATTTTACCTTTTAAAAATTGCTAATCACCAGTTTCGAAAACCATCATGCCAACAATTCACGCTACGACATCGCTTTACTTTTGCAATGTAATTTTTATGATCACTACCTTTGAGACTCTACCGGCATTACCATGCGGCATTCTGATTGGTTGATGGCATTCTTGACCCATCGAGTCGAAGGACACATGGCGGGTCTGTGTATTTTATCTAAGCAATGGAGTGATCAAAAATGACCACTCTCGATTAAAACTCAGTCAATTTTACTTTTATTTCATATAAAAAAAAAGAAGTAATATTTTTTGCATGGCATCATGACTGAGTAAGAAGAATTATTGGTATAATCGATGTATAACGTCTCGAAGTAAGTTGTGTCATGTCGTACCTTTGAAAGTTTTATTTGTTTGTTCATTACTGTGAATATACAAGTTTTAGAAATTAATGGTACGAATAATAAATCACAACAATACGTCAAATAATTACGTGGTTGATTTTTTGAAAGAGAATGTTTTTTGAGTAAATAAGATCGTAAACATATTCCTGGCTGAAACGTTTCAAATGAGTTTTATTTAACTTTTTACAATAGACCGAACTCATTAATATTCATTGCTAATTAATATTCATATAGCTTACTAACATTCATGACCGACCTGCACTCACCGGCTGGCGAGATCCCTGCCTGGCGGCGCGATATTTAGCCTGGCGAGTACTATTTTACCATGGCGACCCGCCCTAACAAACCAACGTGTGGAGAACACAGGAGGGCTATCACAATACGACGTAAATTATTTTTCTGCAGAAAGGTTAATGTTGATTATTTACAAGTGCGATCGGGTTTCCAGTATTTTCAACGAGTCAATCACATTTTTAAGGACATTTCAGGACTTTCCAGGGGTCCTTTGAAATTCAAGGACTTTCAAAGACTTTCCAAGAGCCACGTACGAACCCTGTTATAATACTTACAGAAAATACATGTGACATTACAATTGTGGTTTTCAGTATTAATTCCAGAGCACCTTTGTGACATATTCAATTTAAATCTGATTTTTAAGATACCAGAAATTGGATAATAATATGGAGATAACCAATATGCATATTTTTCTATACTAATCTTATCTGTAGATTACCCTGGAGAATCTATGAACCAAATTTCATTTAAATGTGATATTACATAGTATGCTTGAATTTCAATCCAAAACTATTGCATTGTTCCCAGGCACTTGTATACCAAGCCATACTGAAATGCAATAACTTTTTTTGAAAAAATTGGGTAATTATTATGCAAAGTAAGCAATTATTATGCACAGATTTTAACTCCAAGCTAATAAGGTCTATGTATGTACTAGGTTCATTAAAAAATGATATAAATTTCATAATTTTATTATAGATGTATTAAACTCAAAACTAATTAGTTGCATTTTCACAGACCATCAATGTACCAAGTTTTATTGAAATGCGATTAGAACTTGAGATATTGACGGAAAAGTTGTTTATTTTACAGCAACCCCTGAAAAGAATAGGATGGATGTAATTTTGCTGGTATCAGGTAAGAAGTGCGTGAACAATATATTGATACATGGCCGATTCTCTAAGACAGACCGGAAACAAGACAAAAATAAAAGATTTTTCAAGTTAACGTGGGGGGAAATAAACGTTGCTAAGTATTATCATCAGGGAAAGCTATTGTTTAAGCTAGTCTGTGATTGGCTGCTGTCAATGTCTGGGGGAGTTTGACCAGTTTGTGACGTAGGCTTGTCTTAGAGAATGAAACAACCAAGTAGTAATGAAAATTAACAGTAAAATAAAGGCGATGGATGTTAATCTCTAATAATTGATCTATATGTACTGTTTTGTCTATACATAACAAAAAATAGCTATGCGTCTGTGAATGTGGAGGTGCTCATTTTCATCTGGACCTTTTCGGCACCTGTCGGGCTGCCATAAAATCACAATGTTAATACCACCCCTAAAACAGCTATATGTACACAGGGCTAAACAAAAAGCAGCACTTACAGGAGAGTTTCTTGTCCATAAATCTGTGAAAAAAATAAAATAAAAATTAGCTAAAAAACGTTGATTTTGTCAAGAATTAGAACAAGACTTCTCAACACAGCAGTTTCGATTGGAATATTCAGATCTAAAATGTCACCAATGCAACATTTACAAACAATAACATGAACAAAAACAAGCCATGTTGACATGACATGGAGGCAGCCATTTTGGCATCTATAATTTTACGTTTATTTCAAGCCAAATCACTGGAATTATGTATTATTTTTCATTTGGAAATACAGTTTGAAATGTAGAATAACTACTTACTTTTTCAATTCCGGTGGATGTGCTTTACTCATAGTGGATTCTTAGCGATACAACAGCTGATTAAACCCAAAACAAAGATGGCTGCACAACGCCAAGCGGACGACTTTACATCGAACTGGGTCAGACTATTATCTTTGTGAGGGACTAATAGAACAGCGAGTAAATGAAGTGTGGTAAAATTCATAAATGTTATTATTGATATATTTCGGATCTTAACACGCATATGTTTTGTTTAAAAATACCAAAGGTTAATATAATTTCTTTTCTATTTACAAAAATACGGATCCTGAATGTATTATTAAGAATGGTTTAGTCCGTATTCCGAATCAGTACCCGAATAAACCCGAACGTGCGAAAGGATTCTGCAGACCGACGACTGAAAAATGCGAAACGTTTGATTTTATGCTATACAAAGTAAGTAGAATTTGGCGTGTATTTTATTTTTGATAGAGTGTACCATGTACAAAGATAGTTGTTATCACATATTCAATTCTGAATTATTTGTGAAGTTGATTTTGTTAGAAATAAAACTTTTCTGCCATTGGCTGTGAGTGGACGGCTTGGCAACCAATCAGGAAGACAAAAAACAGCATCATGAAAAACCCCGCGAGTTTCCAACATGAATTGGTTTCTTCAGAGAGTAAACGACATTGTAAATCTAAATGTTCAGTTGATACTTGGCTAGAATGCGTCGTCGATTCCAATTGAGATTATTTTGAAGGCGACGCCATTTTATTTTGTCTCTCGAGTCGAATGCGAAGGCTACGACGTTGACATACTTATTATCAGTATGTACTCCAGCGCACATCTACTGATATTTATGTTGCATGTTATCACACCTTTCATTCCGAGAATTCACGCCAGCAATATTTACTTTCATCTAATTTATCCTGTAAATTAAAATTACAGGAATTGTCATTTTAAGTTCTGGGAATTTGATGAAATGTGTTTTGTATTTTATTTAGATCGAAGAGATAACTGTATCCATGGTTGTACTAAGTAGTCTAATTCTTTTTTGAAAATTAGTAGTATTTCAATCTTTTGCTACACACGAAGAAAAGATCCAAATAGGGGTTACCGGTGCCCTTGTGAAATCTGGGGGGGGGGGGATTCCATATTTTGCGAATATTTACTCACGCATGCCTGACACTATTTTTTTTCACATTATACAGTCATGAGTTTTTATTTTTTATTCTCTTCAACTGTGTAAATTTTTAATTTCCCAAATGAGGAATCTCTGATCTAAACAAGAAAATGTGTATTACAAACCTTTTGATGACAAGATTTGACAATGTAGTATGTTGTAGACACAGTCACTTGGGGGCTGAAAATCAATAAATACTAATTAAATCGTTGGATATCATCAGAAAACGCGGGATTTGTGCAGTTTTGCATAAAACCAAGTTGGCGATTATGAACAATGGTTATTAACGTAACACCTGATCCCCTCTAAAAAAAATTTCCGCATTTTAAGGTAAGAAATCGAAATTTGAAACCGACAGGGTGTCGATTTACTAGGTGCCATGTTTCACAACTTGTTTGTTTATATACGTATAGCGGAGGATTTTTTTTTTTTTAAATTAGTATTTATTGATTTTCAGCCCCCAAGTGACTGTAGTTGTAGTAGTGAAATTAAACTTTAGGTCACAGTTAGATTATTTAACTGGAAACATTTCTGGCAGTAGATATTCCAGAATCTAATTGTGAGCAGTAACAGTGCTGTATATACATGTATTTTTTTCTGAATTGTTACAGCAGTACCGAGAATTATTCGGACAGACAGCAGGAAAGCTTTCAACTTTGCAAAACACTTGTCGTTGTTTTAGACTTGGCGGCACCGCTTGACAGGATGGTGTACTATGTAGGATTCACTATTTCTTCGGGTGATCAACATGATGATTTGCAAACTTAGTGTAATATTCAATAACTACTCTTCATTTCTTGTTTATCTACATTGTATGTAATTCAAGAATTATTAAAACAACAAAATAACATTTTCAATGAATGAGTGTCATTTTGAAAAACTATGCTTTACTCTCATCTGCTATAAAAATTGAATGATCTAAAATCTGTCAATACGACAACGCTGTAAAGTTTAAATTATACAAAAACAAAGTCTTTTGCAGAGTTGCAAGGCATCTTCTTAACTGACTGTCTGAAAAATTCTCAGAATGGTTGTAAATGTTGAATTATAGAAGAACACAAAATAATTATTCATTGTTGTCTGTTTTTTTTTGTTTTTTTAGCTATATATGCCATCATAATTTTGAATGCTGGAGCCCTGTTAAATATAGACAGAGCTAGACATTTAGAGTAGTCTTTTATAGCCTGGGAAAAGTAAAATTGCCATTCAAATAACTGAATAGTAACTGCCCTGATAGAAGTTGTTGATTTCGTCAAATAGATGCTGGCCTCTCTGGATTCGTGTCAGTGATAATGTGTGGAATACTTTTTCATGAAAGATGTAAATCGAAAAATATTTTTAAAAAATGGTTCCTGGTTTGCATGTATTGTATGAAAAATCAATAGAAACTACTCAAAATTTATGTTAACACAAATTTGATTTACCTACTAAAATTTAAAAATCCTGTAAAATTTATAGTGAGAAAGGAAAAAAGGGAAAACAACTACAGGATATTTTCAACTCTAGCATTTTCTTGAGTAATGAATGTCCAAAACAATTTAAAAATTGAATATTTTGTAAAAAAAAAATTCTTTGAGATGGGAGTGTCAAAACTTTATCTTTGATTGTTTGCATCATCTGTACAAATGCTGAATTAATTGTATGGTACACCCCACCCTCTGGTCAGATCACTAGTAATGTTTTTGATGAATTGTTGAAATAAGAATTTTCTTTTTTAACAGGTAGTTGTAACTGAAAACAATGGACGCTACTGGCGGTATCGATGATATGACATATACCTGTTTGTCTACTGTTTCGAATGCTGCAAGTCAGTTTGAAAGTAATTATAATAGCAGTAACCAGCAAGCCCATGTCATGTATGTTAACACACCTCAGGTAAGTAAACTCTAACGGCAAATGTTAAATATGATGATGCAGTGGCAGGCCTTTCCTTGTATATTTGGAAATAAATATTCTAAATAAGAACGATGTCATGATATTTCCAAGATGGCGATGCAAACTAAAAAAGTGCTGACATTTTTCACCTCTTTCCCCATTCCTCTAAAGATGTAAAACTGCCAATTAGTTTTTTTCTTTCACCTAGCATTGAGGTCCTTTTTTTTCTGAATAATATTGCTGTAAATTGTTAAGTTTTTCTTCAAACTTGCCCTGTAGAAGTTTTCAAAATTGTCTTTGTCATCTATTTTTATTGAATATGGTATTGTGTTGTATAGTACTAAACAACAAGCTACTTTCTGTTATTCATCCAGACATATCATACAATAGTTTTATAAAATATGCATGTTCTTATTATAGGAACCACAGGCTGGGATATCATTCCACCCAGCTCAGTTGGGTAATGGTGTGCCCACACACTCTGAAGCAATAGGTAACTTCCAGAGTTCAACCGAGATGAACTTCTTGCCGCAAAACTCTGGCGGTAACAATGAGCGAAATACACCAGTATTATATCCAAGTGCTGCTCTTTCACTGCCCACCACAACTCAGTCTCCAATCTATCCAGCTCGCAATGGTAGTGGAGGAGATGCACAACCCATAGCAACCATGGCACAGTCGTCAACCACTGGTACCATGCAAGCACAGGGACAACAACAAAATATTTACACAGGGCATGGTAACTCAAGTGATGCAGCTAACAAAGTGCAACCAAATGGAGATGTACGTCAGCAATATTATCTCCTAAACAATCCTGGTGCCATGAATGGTAATATTGACGTGGTCAAGACCAGTAGTTCACAGAGTAATTTGGGACAAGGTGATAATGTGGCAATAGATGTTGGTGGGAATCCACCTTTGAATGGAGCTGCTAACAACACTGTTATATTAGTTGGTGCCAATCAAGTTCCACTGCAGCTGGCTTCCGGTGAGTAGAATTGTGTTATTTTAACCAGTGACAAGAACATCCATACACAACTGTGACAAAGAAAAAAGGATGTACTTTACATTGTCTCAGTTTTCACCATTTTGTGTCAATTACACATGACTGTCTATTGCTAAGCAATTTGTACAATTAAATTTGATAAAACAGTGATCTTTGTGTATCCATGTGTGTAAACAAATATCCAAGTACGCTACATTCAAATCCAAAAATATTCATTCCATCAAAGAAAATAACACAATCCCCATTTTATCACAATATGCTAAATTAAATTTGAGGTTAGTGTTATCGATATGATTGACACGCATACTAAACTTGTATTGTTCACTATTCACTTTCAGGATCACAGTTATTATCCATGTCCCAAGACAACAGAGGTCATGTTGCTGTAGCCAAAGAATTGGTAATTATACAATTTAAAAATAATTTTGTGGCATGTGAGGCCAAAAAAAAAAGTTATTTCTGGTTAGTGTGCGCTAGTTATAAAGCTGACACTTTTTCGTTTGGCTTCTGCCAAAACATTGTTCAAATGAAAGAATAAAAGGGTGTTCATTGCACCATTTTTTGAACATCAAAGAACCAGAAACAAATGTTACACTTATATATGTTCATTTACCATCTTAACAAACTTTTTACAAAAATGAATTTCAAATTTTTATATTTCAATGGAATAGCATTAGACTCTTCGTCATGCAAAAAAAGGGTTTCCATTGACCAATCCCATATATATATATATATATATATATATATATATATATATATATATATATATATATGGATATTTATATTTGGTCTAGTTGCTATCTAATTTGCAGATGTGTCAATTCATTGTTTTGTATATTCAACAATGACCTTATGTTAAGTCACTCTACTGTGTTTGTGCGTTTGTGCACAACAACTTAGCAGCTATAATAAAGCTAGTTTACACCTGTTAAAAACCAGTGAATACTTATATCAAGCATATTGAACTTAGCTCAGAGAAGAGTTGGTCTTGTACTTTTGGGGTATAAACACTAAGCAACATTACCAATCCTGGGCTGATGGTACAAGGTACATTTCTCAACTTTGCAGTGAAGTCAATAGAGGCTTTATCAAGTGAGCATGGTGAAACAATAGTGACTTTATATTTACTTTACTCAGTGCTAACTTTTTTATATTCAAATTTTAGTTTTGAGTCAGACTTTTGTTTATAGTGTTATGAAAATGGTCTGAAATGAATATGAATTTCTGTGAGAATATCACCCACTATATATATCATTGTTTCCATACTCTGATGTCTTGTAGTCGATAATAGGTTTGTAAGTTTAGTATTTTCTATGAAGTGTGAACAAGGGAATTGCTGGTGGCAGATTGCAATAAATCTTATAATGTTTTGCTTTCAGCAAAGTATGGATCAATCTGAAGAGCCTTTATATGTGAATGCCAAGCAGTATCACAGAATATTGAAAAGACGAGAGGCCAGAGCAAAGTTGGAGGCTCTTGGAAGAATACCAAAACAAAGAAAGGTATGTTTTGTAAACACACAATCTACCTACACCTTTTATGGTGAAAACATGTCCCACATTTGCTCTATAAGAAACGCATAAACTAACATATATCACTTGTTAAAAATGTTAGCATAAATGGTTCAGTGTCATTTTGTCACACAACGCATTAAAATTTTGCAATTTACATGTGTATTGTATACCTATCTCATAGGTACCGCTATATCATTAAACATGACATGCATTAACATCCTACAAAACGTTTTGGCTCATGTGCACTAATAGAAGCTGAGCATATACAGTTAATTATTTTTATTGGTGCAGTGTGGTATTTTGTCGAAAAAGTAACTATTTGAATGTCACTGTAAAACTTGGTTCCAGGGTGTTTATGCTTTGACTTAAATCTGCTTTGAGATTTAATTCAGAATGTTTATTAGTTACTTCAAGCGCAGTGGTCACCGCACAGCGCGTGTTCGAATTTCATGTAAATAAACAATGTATTTTACACGCGTTGTATACGGTGCTATGAGTCCCATATCGAACAGGACGCGGGGCGACGACCACCGCGCTTTAAGGATGACAGTCTCGAATTGGCGACTGGATGCCAAATTTATTTTTAAGTGTCTTGTCCCTATCTCTGACACACTTAACCGATTCAGTTTTACTTTTTCTGAATAAATCATTGATTTGAGTGCATACTTATTAATTATGTTATAAAATATTTTTTTGGGTGGTTTTTGAAAACTTCTTTATGAAGAGAATAATTAAAATGTAATATAGGCTATGAGTTTTCTAATAGAAAATGCATGTACGTGTTAATCATACATGGAGTTTGTGCGGGTGTTTTCTGATCTTTGACCCCTGAACCTACTACACTTTCAATGATTACCGATAATTTTTCATAAAACACGAATAATGCATACATTCTGTATTTACATATGAGCTCTGCAGAGTTTAATGCTGATTTGTTATCTTTCTCATCCTAGAAATATCTTCACGAGTCTCGTCATCTTCATGCAGTCAATAGGAGAAGAATGATTGGAGGAAAATTTGCAACCAAAAGTTAATTTATTGAACGATCATGTTTTCTGTTTTTATAAAAGTTGAACTGAGTGCTAAATTGCCCGATAATGCAGGGTATCTCTTTATTTGTATGTATTTTCATTGGTTAAACTATTATTTATTAATATTTGATGAAAAAATAAAGTTCACGATATCATATTATTGTCAGTATTTGAATATTTGTTGTGTAGTAAAAGTGACATAAGTAATTTGGGAGGATATTGAGGCAAAATGGAGACCAGTCAATGTTTCCAGTGTTTGGTTGGAAATAATACTGCCCTTACAGGTTGTGGCGTCTATGCTGTAGGGCTGCTGCAGCCATGCTGCACAGTTCTTGCTGCACAGACACTTTTTCGCCTGCACTGCAGCATGGATGCGGTTACTTCCCGCACAGATCATTACAATCAAATTTTCAAAACTTGCTGTAAGGATGTCGCTACCACTAAGCACTGGTCCACTTCACAACATTACCTGGTAGTACAAAACAATTTCCTCAGAAAAAAAACACACTTACTGACTGTGATAATTGTCAAACCAGTTAAGTCAATCAGGTGAAGTGCTTATTTCATCCTGATGGTGAACATATACTGAAAAAATCCACATGCAACTCGACAAATAAATTTGGGCATACAGTAGTGGTAGCTGCATCTATGCTGCATAGAAATGACCAGTGCATGAGAGGCCTTCCTGCTTTTGGTTATATGGTTACGGTAGCTGTGTCTATCCTGCACAGTATTCATCTGTGCGGTACCAGTGCAGCTTGCCACACCAAGCTGCACTGATTTATAATTATATTCCTGTACTGGTTTTCTGTGCAGTATCATCTATGCTGCATAGAAATGACCAGTGCATGAGAGGCCTTCCTGCTTTTGGTTATATGGTTATATGTATACACATTGACTCACAGTAAAGTTGGAGTGTTTCAAAAGTCATCAAAAAAATGTTCAGGCGAGTTCAAGGTGTTAAAGAGATAAGTTTACCTTTGATCTGTGGCATTTACAAGATGCTGACCACAAGTGTGGTTGTTGCCCTTGAAACTACCCAAGGCATTCTATAAACAAAAATGGAGAATTAAAAAAAAAATGGCCTGTCGCTAAACGGTTTTTGACAAAAAAAATGGCATTTGGGAGTAGGGTAGTGTATAACACTAATGTGCAGTAAAATGCACAGATTTCCACTGAAATTATATCAGGTCTGTGTATTATCACAGAGCATCATGTTTCTTGAGATATTGATGAAACAGACGTACAGACATCTATAAATACAGATACCTACACAGATGAACTGAACTGCAACAACACCCATTGTGTGCCCATGTTTTTTGAGATATTCGGGGAACAGACGTACAGACATCTATAAATACAGATACCTACACAGATGAACTAAACTGCAACAACACCCATTGTGTTCTTTGCACACAGCAATCAAATGCACATTTTGTCATATGCAAATTACTGCACTCACTACAGGCAAGAATATGTTGAACAAATAAAACTATGACCGAACTGGCCACAATAATTCAACTAATAGATTCCCTGATTTAGATTTAGTGGATTTCCACCAACAAATTATCAGATCTACTGGTACCCCGGCGGTAGTATTATTTCTAAACAGTTACATATCAAGTTGTATCAACGGCTCCTGAGACAGCAGTTAACAACAATATATACAGGCATCTTAAAACTAGGTGAGGGGAAAAAATGTCCACAGTAGTTTTGCCATGCAGAGTTTTAATGATTTATCTCTTACTAAAACGACTGACCTCCTGGTTTAAATAGCTCCACTGTCTTTGTAGATTGTCTTCCTCAAAACAAAGTTGATAATGTTCTATATGGTGATATATTAGTGATTTGTCATGGTTATTGTTACCACAATATTTTACAAACCATATTATAGTAATTGAGCTGGTATTTTTCAAGAAAAAGTTGAAAATAGCATTTTTTTATCAAAAATGACAAAAATATTTGCTAAATATAGAGGATTGAAGAATCGCAAAATGAACAAAATGTGGACATGAATCAAGTTCAGCGATTAGATATATTATTTATTAGAGACGCCAAGGGAACCAAAAATTGAAATGTAAATCACTCCAGTGATGAGAAATTTGTGATAATAGCCAAGTGATTGAGAAACTGTATTTCAAAAAAAAAATGTTAAACAGGGTAAACTACAGTGAAAGGCAGCAAGCTCTACCTTATTTTATAAAATATAATTATAACAATTTGTAAATACCGATCATAAACTTTCACATTATCTATGTCAATAATGCACTCACAAGCCTTTAAGTGGTAGCATCTGTGACTGCCCACTTATTTAAAAAAGTGCTTGCTGATTGGATGATGTTGATCTCATTAATATTAATTTCTGGATTGGTCAATTTGAAATTTAACAGTCATTTTGATTTATAAAGTATACCATAAAACATTCCCAGCTTTCTGCCTTTCACAGGCAGATACAGAGTGCTTTACATTCCATTTTAGGTCAACGCACAAATTTCCAGGTTTTTAATTGAACCAACAGTCTAATTTAGAATATAATTTCTTTTAAATGAGCTGCACCCTGAATGAGTTGAATTAGCTAAAATTAACTAAAATAACATGCTAGCTAAAGAGACATGTTACACAGTATGCGAAAATAGAATACGTTCTTATCTTCGTAAAGAAAATTTGTCATTCTCTTTTGCTATATAAACAACTATTCTGTTAATAAAAGAACCTAAATTTCAGCAGAAAATGTCAGAGAAATGGGTGATAAATAAATCAGTAGCCAACAATTTCAGGATGAATTAGCATTATTTAGTCTGAAAAAAATTGTATTTTTTTTATAAATATATATATTTTCTGATTTTTTTAAAAATGTTGTATCATGCAAAAATGGGAAACATTTCTTACATTTCACTCCATCAACTAGATCAAACCTGTCATACCAGTTCCATCTTCATCCGGGGAACACTCAATTTGTTTTCAATGATCACGTGATCACCGACCAGTTTAAACCGGATTGCTTGCTATGCGTAGTGAAAATCGGAGCTGAAATATATCTACTTGTTTCATTACAGTGTTTTGCTTTCGCCGTCATCGCTTATGGTCGACGGTTATTTACAATTTTTAACTTTCCGACATGTCTTCTATGCCGAACGGGAGTTTTCTGTGTGGAGTTGTTGAAGGTAAGATTATGAAACCTATCCTAATCATTGTACAGCCGCCATTTTGTCGACTTTGTCTGCACTCTGTAAACGTCGATGGTACCAGCGTTTCAGTAATTATATCCTCCTAAATTAAAAACAATTGTATGCTGTGCAACCATGCATGATTGGAGATTACTATTCGGTTTATTTGCATTGTTATTTAGCAGCTGACCACCTTTCTGAACTTCGACTTGTAATCGAATGATTGAAATTATATTGTCACAATGTTGTCATTCGACAGTGTGTTTTGTCAGGATTTTCGTTCATTGACCCGTATTTGTTATTGGTGTGTTTTGTTAAAATCGTGAGTGATTATTCGCTATTCGAAAAAACTATTTTTCTGTTAATTTTTCTATGATTTATTGCTACCATGAAGCTAAAAAAAGATCATGTTCCCACACATCTACTCGTGGTTGAGCTTGTCTGAATATAAGCTAACAGAAGCCATTGAATCCAATTATTAGAAGTAGGTGAGAACTTTCCCTCAAGTGACTGTTCCTTAAAATTCACCTTTCTTTGATAGGATTTTATGGTCGTCCATGGAGTACAGATCAGAGGATTAGACTGTTTCAGCTCCAGAGTAAGTTAAATTTGAAGCATTACATGTATGCTCCAAAAGATGATTCCAAACATCGTGCCTGCTGGAGGGATATGTATTCAGTTGAAGAAGCTGGTGAGTTTAGTTAAAAAAATATTCAATATTCTCAAATTTTCTTTTCTAAACATTCTCATGATAAGTTTGTGAGATTGAAATTAACAAAATACTTTTTGACGATCTCTCTGGTCTCAAGAATTTGTTCTTGTGCTTTCACGACATTAACTTTGCTAAGTATTCATTGCTTAACATTCCTTTCTGTGTGTGGCATTTATATTCTATTGTTCATGATGAAATGAATCTTATAACGTTTAACACCTTCTTCACAAATATATGTATACTGTAAACTGTTTAATTTTTACTGCTAGGAATATTAGTTATTTGATATTTAAATTGATTTTTGTGAAGAAGAAAAATGTTGAATGTTCCCTGCTGCTTTATGCTCATAAAATACATGGTAATTTTCTCATGTTAAATTAAAGCGATTTACATTTTACTGAGATAGGAAAAATTTAATGCAAGACTAACAAATCATTGTCTTTTAACAAATCAAAATTATAATATTGTTCTCCATAGACCACCTTACATCACTGATTTCCGCTGCCAAGGAAAACAATGTGCAATTCATATATGCTCTGTCACCCGGTCTGGATATCACGTTTTCCAGTGTTAAAGAAGTTACCTGCCTAAAAAGGAAATTAGAACAGGTTTGTCCTTTACTGGTTTTGCAGTTGATCTCTTACTTCAATGAGTGATCTATTGTATCATTGTGAAATGTTAAAAACTCAAATGCTATGTTTATTTCCCCAAAATTGAAAATAATCATGATGTTTTTCCACTGAAATCAATGTTGAAAATTTTAACATCAATTAATGATTTTCATGATGAGATCATGGCCAATCAGAAATTTACATTTGGATATGTTTGTTTGTAACTCACTAAACAAAAATAATCTTGGCTAAGTGCTTTTACTGTATTGCTCATATATTATAGGTTTGAATTTCATGGAAAAACAGTGACTTGATGACTAATTTTGCCAAAAGTGTTTTCGTTCTTGAGGCATCCAAGAGTTTTGGGGTTCATTTTTACCCTATTAAAACTAAAACAATGTTATTATTTACAGGTGAAAGATTTTGGATGTGAAGTTTTTGCTTTGTTGTTTGATGACATAGAGACTGATATGTGTACAGCAGACAAAGAAATCTTCCAATCATTTGCCCATGCTCAAGTTTCAGTTACAAATGAAGTGTACCAGCATCTCGGACAACCAACATTTTTATTTTGTCCCACAGGTAATACAGTTCGTTTGTTATTAAATTTCAATGGTTTTGTTAAATATTAATATACATACATTGTTTTGAAAGGTGGGATATATAATTTGTTGTATAATTTACTTAGCCTTTGAGTACAACTTGTGGTTCTACTTTCTTATTCACAATCTCTATTGGTTCAGTGTTCTGATTGTTGGCAATGATTTGTCTTTTGTAGAATACTGTGGAACCAGAGCTGTCCCTGATGTTGCAAATTCTGAATACTTAACTACCATTGGTAATAAACTTCTCTCCCAGATTCATGTACTATGGACAGGTGAGTAAGAAATATTGAAACAATTCAGATTCATTTTCTTGTACAATTAGAAAATGTTCTATGCTCGTCACATTTGAAATGTGATGTAGTGCTTCTTCATTAAGTATTTATTTCTCTGTGGACTGATGTATATTTTATATGGAGATGACAGACATCTTTTCATGTGTACTTAGTACTCCCATCTTATGATTTTCTTTGTGATAGGACCGAAGGTAGTGTCTAAGTTTATTAGTGCAGAGTCTATAGTGGAGCTGAAAAAAGTGTTGAAAAGACCACCAGTGATCTGGGATAACATTCATGCAAATGATTATGACCAAAAAAGGTTGTTTTTAGGTGAGTTATGTTTATGCGCAGGCATGTGCAAGTTGTATGATCTTGATGGTTTTTGGGGGTGGGTGTGTGGTATTGTTTAATATTTATTACTAGTCAGAATATTGAAATGTGTGCTTTCTGCCCTCTCCTGTGGGCGTGTAACATTGACATCTCTATGTGGATAATAACAAAAAACTATCATTTCAGAATAGCATTAAATAGGAATAGATGGTATGAACTGAAGTTCACCCTTAAGCAAGAAAACTGTACCTGTACCTATCAGTATCCACAATATTTTGATGTTTTATTCCGCAGAAATGTATTCCTAAAGCTGTTACTTTTTTGCAGGTCCTTACTGTGGACGTTCCACAGAACTTATACCTCACCTGAGTGGAATTCTCACAAATCCAAATTGTGAATATGAAGCAAATTTTATTCCTATCCACACTCTCGCTACATGGTGTAGTTTTGCGCACAATCAAGATGGCAGAAAAGAAGTATTCAGTATGTATCCATTTTTATTGTGCATTGGCATTCAATAAAACGTGTGTATGCTGTAACCTTCAATGAATTTATTTAAATATTACAAGCAACCAGCTATAGTGTTCTGAATCGGAGACTTTTGTGTTTGTTCAATAAGAATTAGATCAAGCAGTGTTCTCCCCAGGATGTAAACAGCGTGGCGGTCCCGCCACAGTGCTTCGATTTGCCGCCACACCGGTCTGACACCGCCACGGTGATTAGCAAGACCGCCACAGTGCTTTTTTCATTGGGGATCTCGTCGCGCTGGTCGGCCCAACCGGCACTCAAAATTAGCGACCACCACGGAAACGCTTCCGACCAGAACTATTGCCATATTGTTATTATACTTACGTACCGAACGACGCGCATCCTGCCAGTCGTGGATAATAATTTGTAAACAATAGACATAGTCCCGCGATTGAACAATACAAGTCAATTTTGTAAGATTTTCACCCCTTTGTTTGTAAGTAAATACTTTCTGACGAAAGACGCAGTCTTTAGATTGAAAGCTAAAATTCTTTCAAAATCAATTCCACTCGATGTAACATGGGCAAAGCGGAGTTCACGATCAGTTTACGCTACTCAAGAAATATACGTGTTTATTGCGTGATTGGGTAAAATACATTTGAACTGTTATCATCGTGGATCATGTAAAAACTCTTCTTTCAAGACTTCTTTTACCTTTTAAAAATTTCTAATCACCTCTTTTGAAAACCATCATGCAGTTTTCATCTGAAATTCATACCAACACATCGTGCTACGACATCGCTTTACTTCCGCAATGTAACTTCCGCCAAATAATGGTCGATTTTTTTAAGGAGAAATTTGTAGTAAATAAGATCATGAAAGTCGTGAACATAATCCTGGCTCAAACGTTTCAAATTAGTTTCATTTAACCTTTTACAATTTATTTGTTTCTTTTTAGTCTGCAGCATTTGCATTTCGAGAACGTAAAATTTTTAAATTCAAACTCTTCTAAATTGTGAAACGTAATATTTTGACTCCAAAAAAAATATATTTGCACTGTGACTGAGCTCATTAATATTACAAAAGTGCCCAAAATAAAAGTGTTTATAACACTGTGTGAAGCAAATAAATATCTGCCACTTTGTTTTTTAAATATATGTTGTTTAGTGTGTGGGTATAAATGTGCTTTGGTCAATTTCTATTATTATGTAAATGATATGCAAATTAGGCCGCCACAGTGGTTTAAATTCCTGGGGAGAACACTGAGATCAAGCATGTTTTTCATTTTTTTTTTTCAGATGAATTGTGCAATGCAACCATTAATGCAGACATAAAATTAGAAAGAGAAGGAGAATCAAGTAATTGTTTATCACCACGACATGGTAGTTATGACCCACAGCTTGCTCTGAAAATAGCTATAAAAGATTGGCTACATGAATTTACACAGTCACGTAGTTCAACTGGCAAGGCAGAATCCAAAACTTTTAGTATGGCACCTTCTCCGGAATCACAATTACCTGCCACCGGAGTGAGTACATGCATGTCTGTTACACCTACAACAGACTCCCTTAACCCTAGTCCATCTGTATCTACACAACTTATGACAGAAGCACAAAATGCTCTGAGGACTTTAGAAGTTATGAGTGTGGAAGATGCCTCTGTTGATGAGGAAGAAAAAGTTGAACCAATGGACATTACTGCTGATGGATCAACTATGAAAGGATCGGAAAATGTACATGTGCCTACAAAAATAAGCAGTGTAATGATGACCAATTGTTCTACAACAGTCAACAAAGTGTCTGATATTCCAATGCAGTTAAGTAGTAATGCTGCAGAAAAACCTAACTATGCTGAAAAAATTCAAGCTGAATTGATTAGTTCAAATGAAACTGCTGAACCCCAAAGAAATTCTATGTTCTTGGAGATACCAACATTTGAGGACATTGAATTGCTGGTGGATACATTTTTCTTGCCATATGAACATGGTCTTAGAGCTGTTTATATGTTAGAAGAGTTGCATTGGTTGAAGACGCATGCATTTTGTGTGACAGAGTCAAAGCATTCTAAACACCCACCTCCAATGGTAAGAAATCTTTATACATCTGTCTCGTCATAAGTTGATACTTTTGATAATTTTTCACTGCCTTCCAAAGTAACTGCTTCCTACCTACAAGAAAATGTAATTTTGAATAAAAAAAGCCAACAAAACAAATTTGTTTGATAAATGATGAAGTATGCCACTAATCATTGTTATGCAGACTATTTAATTTTACCTTTCTGAAGCTTATGGCATGATGGTAGGTTTTAAATCGTGACCATTAGTTTGTGACTTAATTTGTTGTTGTCAAACCTAAATTAATTCGCTATTGGTGGAAGTGCAAACTCTGTGACGTTTGTATAAAATCAGACACAAGTTTTGTAGCAATCTGAGCCATTTATATATATCGCAAGCATGTTTTCCACAGTCTGACGTGATGAGTGTTGAATTTGAATTGCTGACATAACACTCAATCCACTTATTCTGCTGCACTTCACTTGTTTGTAACTGTGGTATATAATTGTATGTTTATTTTCTGTTGCAGGCAGTGGAATGGGGTGACCGTGCATGCATGTTTGCCAACTCGTGCCAAGCAGTTAATAGGCTGTTCCAGAGATTGACCAACATACCAAATCGATCACTTCTTTATGAGCTTTATCCATATGTATGGGACATGAAAGGAGTTGTTTCTCTGCTTCACTCCTTTGTAAAGTGGCTAGGTAAAGTAATTCCAATCCTACCCAACAGTAAATGTACTCCACTGCAAGAAAAACAAAACAAAAAAAAACATTTAGTTTGGTAATGACAAAATAAAAAGCAGTTGGACTATTTCCAAATCTCAAGGGATATAATACAATGATGAGAACACAGCTATGCTTCAGTATGAAAGTAATTGATTTCAATAGTGTACTCCAGTACAAAATATTATCTATCAGTTGTATAGATGCATTCAGAGTTGATTCTGTACCTAAGACTGGCTTTGTGTTTTCATCTGCCTCATTTATCCTTGGGGCACATAATATTTGCAATTGGAGGATAGGACAATGCACGAAACTGATGAGCTACTACAAACTAAATGCGCTTGTAATATTAAATGTTGCTCATCAGTGTTACACATTGACCCTCCACTAAATATTGCATTCATTAACTGTGTTTCCCTGACCCATTTTGACAATAAACATGTGTAATCTCTGCAAGTGCTGGATTTGTTTTTCTGCAGTAGAACCAACAAAATCAGTATTTGTAGACTTGATGAGACTAACAGATTTTTTCCCTATTTTCTTTTGTAATTATACAGTGATGGGACAGGTACCACAAATATCCTGCGACTTCATGCAAGCCACCTTGACATGTACGCATATTTTGGTGTGATATTTCATACTTTTTTCATTGTTTTGTTGTGTATGAGTAGACTGGTAGGTAGTTAATATGCAGTCGATACTTCACATGGCATGCGATCACAGTACAACTACGCAATTTCAGCGCTGCATGTGTCAAAGGCGCCTAACTTGTCTGCGCTGCGCTGCGCTGCGCTGTCATTCATCCTCTCACTTAATCAGATTTCAGAAAGGGCAGCTCTAAAATAGTTTTTGCTATTTGCAGGTTGAGTTACTATGATTAACAAGCTTTTTTATTTGCGTTATGAGCTACATACTGTGACTACAGATCGCTTTGCTCTGCTCTGCGCTACGATGCTGCGCAACGACTGCATAATCCCCCAGCTCGGCGCCACGTTGCTGCGGAGCGCGTTGCGTCATGCGTGGACTCGGTTGATTGTAGATACTGACAGGCAGTACGTCATGCAGATTAATAAAGTTTGCCTTGTTTTCAGTGTAAAGATGACACTTTGTAATGTAGCTTGTTGCAAGGCAATTGTTTTGCTAGCCGAAAGACATTTGTCATTAGTTTAACCTGCTCACTTGCTTGATGTGTTGAAAAAACAATCCTTGCCAAGTTACCTTCACACATACTCACTTTTTTCTTTTCTAACCTATTCAATATCCAGGGTGTACCAAGGGCTACAAAGAAATATTCATGAGTGGTGATCTTGAACCATGGGTTTTCCGTGGTGGTCTCACAGCTGAGCTTCAAGTATGTGTGAGCTGAATGTCAGCTCTTTCAAGATTATATTTCCAGAAAGCTCAACTGAAGCCTGTGTGAATGCTGCGTTGCGCGTGTACATGTACTTTGAAAAATGTTGCGCATAATTCTTGTGTGAAATTGCTTGCATGCAAGATTGAATAACATTTCATCAATATGCTGGTGATGAATAGCGACAATGTGCTGAAGGTTGCATAAAATGTGCGAGAGATTTCATAATATTGTGTCATTGTGCCGGAGATGGCACCTAATTGCGTCAATGCGCGAGAGATTGCATAGAATTGCGTCATTATGAGAGAGATTGCGTCAATGTGTGAGAGATTGCGCGTATTTGCATCAATGAGCAGGAGATTGCATAATCTGCTTTCACCGCTAACAGTTGTGCTGATATTCAAGTTTCAGTGGCAAAGAGTCTTGAGCTTGCACTGCATACTTGTTCATGCTCGGTTACAGTATAAGTGGATTAATACCATGCTGCTTCTCAATAAGTTAATAAAACTGCTGTGACTGGAGCCATATAATCAAAAAATTTCAAACCTGAATTTGTATTCTGTCTCACCAGTCATGGTTGCCTTTTATTCTTTCCGAGTATTTCAGCAGTAGGTATTACTGCGTTGCAGTGCTGGCTTATGCATCATCAGGCTTCAGATAGCTTTTGGTCATTTTGTGTGTAGTAATGGAACTAGTTATCAAGTAGTATACCTGTTCAGTGAGCATATAACATTGCCGTGAACTATTGGCAATGTTATTATTTTACTGGCATTAACTCTGAACATGTATATTATATTAACTGGTTAACACATTGCTGGTCAAAATCCTAACACATGCAAGCATAAAGTGATTTTAACATTTGGGCTACGAGCGTGTTTGAAACTTGGATACAATTTACCTCGCCAGTCCCAGTTGCTTTGTATTGGTTATCTGGAATATTGCTCTAGATCAAATCAAATTAAAATCTAAAATAATGTTAAATGTTATATTTGTTATTACAGCGCATGCTCCCAATAGATGGAGCTGCCGATCTTTTTGTTCAGAAACCTCCAGAAAAATTGAGCAGCAAAGTCTATACAATCAGACCATATTTGCCCAAGGATGAGGTGAGTGGTTGTGTTTTTTTTTGCTTGCTTACGATTTCATTTCTGTGTTGCCCAATGGTATTGAAATTTGCAGTGTGCAACTAAAAAACACATTTCCCAGAAAGACATGTAGACTTACCAACTCTTTTTCAGTCCAAAGGACAATTGACATAGTAAAGTATGTGATTTGAATTTAAAAAAAAAATCGTCTTATTTCATGATAATTTAATACCACAAGACGATAGTATATAATACTTTCAAGGTTGCATACATGCATTAAAAGTTGTTTTGGATGACAATACATCATCTGAAACAGAAAACCAAGATTTCCCTCATTCTGCTGTTGTGGTGTCTGTACATTTTCTGAAAAAAAAAAGGTTTGAGATGTTTGATGTGTGGGATAACGAAAAGAATGCCATTATCGAGAAAGTTGTAAGTTTCTTGAAATATTAGACTTGAGAAACCAATGTGAATGCTGTATTTTAACCTTAAATGTTCTCCTGTATCAGGTTGAAGTGTACAAAGTTTGTAGACTTACTTGTGATGATGGCTCAGATGGAACGGATATCTTTCCTGATCATCCAAACCTTATTGGTGACAAGTAAGTCCATCTTTAATGGGGGTTTACTCCAAAAAACACTTTGAATGCGACTAAAAAACTTGTTCAAGAGTATCTCTGATCAGATAGTATTGTGAGTGAAACAAATTCAAGGAAACAACTCCATTTGTGTCTTTAAGTAACACAGTAAAAGAGCGAGTACAACATTTTATTGTGTTGAGGTGTTGCTTCTTCTACTTCAGATTAATCCTTTTACTTGCTGTGAGAATTCCATTATTCAGCGAAGTACATGTTTTTAGTCTCCGTTTTAGACAAAGCCCAAAATCTTGGACTATTAATTCGGGTTCGGTCCAGTTTCACGAGCATGCCTTGAGCAAACACATTCAAACTTAACACAAAGACCATGTACAATGAATTTCATTTGTACATCAATTTTTGTTACCATTTGATCAGATATGGCTGACTGTAGACCATTTTGGTCCTTAAATTTGCTAAATTCTAATACTTGAGTGTCCAAAAATGTTTCTTGGGCATGAACACGTTCATTTCTCAGAAATAAACAGGGTGATGTTCAAACTTTGTACAAGGGTCATACTAAAACATCAGTAAATCAGTTTTCGCCATTCAGTAAGGTTGCTGAACCCTCATTAATATATTTAAATGAAGTCTAGTAATTTGAACTTGTTGTCTTCATCCATCATTCTGATTGGTTGATAGACTTGACCTATCAGGTAAAAGAACAGTTTCAGGTCAACTTGTGTATATCAAAAACATTTTGGATATATCGCACCTCAAAAACACAGTATAACCAAATTGTGCTATTGTGATCTAAGCAATGGCAATACATTCATGTTTACTTTATTTGAAACTACTTTTAAATTGCATGTACATGTCTACTTTTTGTTACCAACAAAATTAAAACTTCCAGTGATAATGATTCATGGTCAATGCTTGTTTTACAGGTTAGTTGGTGGACTTATCACTCTCAGTCCAGAGTATTGTTTTGTATTGGAGGATGAAAATGGTATCTGTGGCTATGTTCTTGGAGCTTTGAATGCTAAAAAGTACTACGACCTGTATGATATGGCTTGGATGTTGGAAATGTGTTCCAAATACCCCAAACCAAAATCTAAAAATCTCACCCCAGCAGAGGTAAAATGTTATAGATTTTTTTTAATTTTCCATTCACATCTGAGAACTTTTTAGTATTCCAAATCGCAGCTTATCATTTGAATGATGGATAACAAAATTATGGCCCCTAATGAAACAAAATTACTTCTCAAGTAGAGTAGTCATGTACATCTTATATTTAATGGGAAGTTTCTTCTGAGCTTTTCAAGTATTTTAATACCATGTTTCTTCATTTCAGGAGGTTTTTCTAAGTTTTCATGAATACAAAATTTATCTTCCTAATAATCTACATCAAAAATATCCCTCGCTGCTAAAAATGGATATTCTACCGAGTGTTGAAGATACAAGTGTTGTAAAGAATATGTTGGCTTGTATTCTATCTGCACTTAAAGCTAATGGTAAGAGTTTGACTGATTAATCACATATATGAATTTTGTTAATTTCCCAAACTTGCTGATGTAAAATACCCTGTCAAGCAAACTTCAGTGAATGAGGTCAATTTGATGAAAACCTGATGTTAGGTAGAGGCTGTAGTGCTATTGTCCAGTTTTTTAACCCCTATGTGCAAAGTATGCAGTGTACTGCTATCTCGAGTACTAATCATCACATTACAATGAAACTTGGCACATAGATGTAATAGAAGTGGATTAATATTTATGTATATTAAATACCTAATTTGTATACTGTAAAGGGGTTAATTATTCACTGGGGTTTAATTTTGCTTATTTCGCTGACTGGAAAATGCGCTAAATTAAAACCTAGTGAATATTTAAAATTTAGCATAGAACACATTATCTAAATGATAAAACCGTGAATTTAAAACCCACTGAATATGCCTGAAATGGTAAATCAGCGAAATTTAAACCCAGTGAAAATTAGTCATTTTACAGTAATTAGTAAATTTTCAGCTAATCTTTACATTTCAACTTGCTACATAGATGCTCATGACTATTCACAGACCTGATTAGTTTTGGGTTAAAAATCATTGCATATTAATAGCCTAGTTTGCATATTGCATCGATTTCGGTTGAAAACTGCATGATGGTTTTCGAAAGAGGTGATTAGCAATTTTTAAAAGGTAAACAGGGTCTTGAAAGAAGAGCTTTTACATGATTTTACCAAATCACGCAACAAACATGTTTTTTTTCTTGAATAGCGTAAACTGATCGTGAGCTTCACTTTGACCATGTTATATTGAGGTGGAATTGATTTTGAAAGAATTTTAGCTTGCAATCTAAAGACTGTCTATTGCAGAAAGTATTTTCCGTGGTGGTCACTAATTTTGAGTGCTAATCAGGGCTGAATAAACCTTTTGCACATCTGATATTGGCATGTCAAATATGAAATTAAGCACCAAGGTGCATGCCTAACTTTGAAAAAAGGCTGTGTCATTCTGGACAGCGTCTTGTGTAATGCTATGTGAACCAACCATGTGTTTATTTACAGGATCCTATGGTGCATTTGTAGAGGTTGGTGTTGGCAACAAAACAATGTTGGACTTTTACACTAAGCTGGGATTTTTAGAAGTGCCAATGTTGGATGAAATCTCAGATGAAGTAATCATACTTGGAAGAGCAATGTAACAGACCAGTTGTAACCAACAACAGAGCAATGGAAGAACAAGCAATACATCTGCTGTCTGCTGCATCTTGAAAGCTTGTGTCTACCGTTGTAGTATTTACGATTTTCCTGAATTATCCAGTCTCTTGCATGGACAGTCAATTGGTGTTTCAGGATGTACTTCCCTTATGTGAACCACTTTCAAATTTGTAAACGTTTCATATTTCTTAACGTTATTCTTATATTTGTAATTCAGTTTTAATGATGCATGCTCAACTTTACTGAGAAAGACAAATCCAATCATGAAGAAAAAAGTTGTGCTGTTTTGATAAATGGATTTCAGTTCGAATACGTTTAAACCTATAGATAAGTAAAAAAAATATAACGTCCGTATCTGCAACATTGCAAATCATGAACCACAACTTTTGAAACCAAATCTGTCAAATGCAGTCGATATAACTTATAAAAAGAATAGTTTATTGTCCAACTTGTATTACATTGTTTATAAAAGATGTTATATCTATAAATTGTCTCAGTGTGTTTCATTTGAGTGCCTAATATTGATCATATTGCACACTCGTATTACCCATAATTCTCCAGTCAGCCAGCTCCTTGGCGCGCCCAATCAAATGACTCAATTTAACTGCAGTGAAATACACCTTTTCGTAACACGATCATGCAAGGTTAGCGAAACCGTTTGATTCATGCGATGATAAATGTGCGTCTTCGACAGTTTTGCCTTCATTTCATTACTAAATCATCTGACCATGTCATACTAGTAAGAATCAGCACATGTTCTCCTAAATTGCCACTGTGGGCGTGATTAAGGTTCATGCAGAGTGCTAAGGCAGCAAATATCTGCACGCTCGGAGTTTCGATCCAGACTATTAGGACAATTTTTTTTGGCACAGTTTGCACATGCAGGGATCAGTAATGTTCATGCCACTAATGTTTTTAGAAGGATGGCAGAATGTAAAGTAACTCGCCGTGGTCGTAAAAACTACATATGGCTAGGCATCTCTTTATATTGTATGAACTGACAAGAATATCACACATTTTCTAACATAACATTAGGCCAAGACGCATCTCGCGAGTCAGTTTGAATGAAAATTGGAATTTGTAATACGTTGTCTGTTAGTCATATTTCAGAACCCCCTGGACTGAATCTGTTCGTTCTTTGCATGTGCTTAGTACGACATGCATTTGTTTAGTGATTTGAATCAAGGATGGCCAACTGTTTTTAGAAAATGTTAACCTTGAACATACTTGGCTAGTTACTCAATTTCGTACATTCATTACAAATGTATGTTTATTTGTGTGAATATCTTCCAAATGTTCATAGTCAAAAAATTTAAATGTATATAGGACATTTACGATAATAGGAGTATGGTTGCAAATAAATTCATGAATGGCGAGATTTCCTTCCCAGACTCAATTTGTGATCGTATTACTTTATCTTGGACATGAACAACATTTCCCCTAAGTGCAACAGAGATTGCATAATTAATAACTTGTGCATAATTCTAATGCTGTATCTATAGAACTATCTCTATATTTGCATGAGCAACTAATGCTGTTATGAAGGCCTTGATTGGACAAAATGCATCGGATGACCATATTTGGTCATCTTGCCTCATTAATATGCGCAATTCGTATTTTAAACACAGTTACTGATGGGGACATGCAACTAGTGCTATATTGAAGGCAACAGATGTAACATATCAATAAATGCAAAACTATTTTTTACCTTGTCCGCATCGTCGTAGATGTCAATGTATAACGGGGAAAATGTTTGTTCGTTGTCAACGTCTTAAATTTGTATCTTTTTCAAACTTGGATATTATTTTAACCAGTTTGTGCTCTTTGGCCAAGTTTGATTTTGGTATGTGTCCTTTGCATATTTTTCAAGATAATTGTTAAATTTCACTTAAAATTGTGATACCAATTTTTATCTAATGATCTTTAATTTGGGAATCGTATCAATCGCTATGAAATGTCAACAAAGTTCAATTGGTGTAACTAGCATGTGCAATTTTCAAGAAATGGGTTAAAATTTGACTGAAATAAAACATTGTTTAGATGTAGAAATAAGTGCATAAAATGAAGACATTCTCCTGCTGATAATTAGAACCAGGTTTAGTAATATGACCTCCAAGACTTATTACCAAATTTTGCTTAGACATGTTAATGTGCTATTGTTTTTAGGAACTTTTATACAGTTCATGTTATATTTTATGAGACGTTGAGATTAATACAGTACTATTATTAATTACTATATTTATTTTTCATGCGATGACGACTTCATTGTACTTGTTCATTTTTGGTAAGAATTGTTCTTACCTAAACTTTAACCAGTATTTTCCGTGCAAAATGTTTAGACATATTGTTGCATTGTTTCAGGACGTTTATACTTTTTTTTGCCATGCAAAAACATTAAGCCATCCGGAACACTAAGATTGTTAAGTTAGGCTATGAATATTCATTATGCAGATCTTGGGTATAAAGGCCCACCTGCCACAATTTCAGTAAGCAAATTACAGAAGAACGACACCAATTTTAAAAGGTCTATATATTCTTCTAGCCCTGACATTTTATTTCTGAGCAAAAAAGTAAGGTATATCTGACCTGACTTTCAAAATAGCCCCATAGTTTTAGCAGAACTATGAATGTTCCCCTAATGCACAGAAGGAACTCATCTAATAGCAGTCCATTCAAGGTACACATATATCATGTATCAAAGCAATTGGAGTAGCAGTTTTCAAGAAGTATAACATTTTTGATCAAAAATATTTGCTAAAAATAGAGAATTTGAAAATATCACGAAATGAACAAATCTGACAAAAGTACACACACAGTACCAAGTATCAAAGTAATTGAGCTGGTAGTTTTCAAGAAGAAGTCTAAAATAGCATTTTTTACCTAAAATATTCGCCAAAAATACAGAATTGAAGATATCGTTACAAAATAAACAAATCTGAAGGTTCCACCCAAGGTACCAAGTACCAAAAACACCAAGTATTAAAGCAATTGAGCTGGTAGTTTTCAAGAAGATGGAAATGTAATTGTTGATGGACGGACAATCACCTATCCTCGGGGGCGGACATCCGGGCATTTTCACCGCCTGGCAACCCGCGGCGGTGAAAACAAAGGCCCAAAACTCGCAGAAAACGGTACTTTGGGGTGATTGTGGAGACTCCTCTGAACAGTGCAACAAGATTAGCCCTACGTGTGTAACATATAAATTTGATTGTTCGGGATTACTTCAAAGTTGAGTTTGTGTTTTCTCGAATTTTCACTGGCTCGACCGGCGTTCCAAAGCAGCGCGCACAGAGCCCATAGAAATGCATGGTACAGTGGTGCGCGTCTTAGCAACGTGGAACGTCTGTGACGTAGCTCCGCCCCCGAGGATATGAATAGCTCTGCTCTGTCATCTACGATGACAGCAGTGCTAAAAAGTTCTCAATTGAGGGTTTTATTCTGTACTACAAGGAAAGCTGTCTTGAATCTAGTGTTTTTATGTGGACTAGTAATGGACCTCTGACTTGATCAAGGTGCAAGTTTTTGAAATGGAACTGGTAAACTTCTAAAATGTATGTAAATAAACAATGTATTTTACACACGTTGTATACGTTGCTATGAGTACCATATCGCACAGGACGCAGCGCAACGACCACCGTCCTTCAATTTATCCAGACTTGGCATTCAATAAAGATTAGCGAAGACAAAATTTGAAAATGACTCTTTCACCTTTATTGTGCATTAAACGAATGTATGATGCAAAACTAACAATAAAAAAATCCCTGATTCATGCAAAAATATACTTTAAGTTGACCACCTGTATTCAAAAGTAACCTAGCAAAAAGAATGAACATCCATCTCTCTCATTTCTAGCCAAATTCTATAAAAGAGCTTCTACTTTGAAGTGAATAAATGCAGTCATCCCAAGCTAGAATCTGGAATTGTAATTTTGAACTGATCAAAATCTGGAAATAAACAGAAATAATGCATTCACCTAAATACACTCATGATATGCCCTGTGAATAAAGAATTGCTGCAATATGCAAAAAGGATTCGGAGTAAAACTCCACAGCAATAACTGACAGTGAATGTTATATGAAAAGCATGTCTTCGGCAAAAAATATGTACTGGTAATGTTAAGGATCAACACTGAGCAGAAATGTGTGCTTATCTTAAATTCACATTACATGGTTACTCCCTGAACTGTAGAGGGCGCTATTTGACAATAATGTCATTTCTAATACAATAAGCATCAGCAATAACCACATCATTGGGACTTGAGGATGTGCTTTTAAACAAATTTCACTGAACATCAAAAAAAAAAATCTTGCAAGATTATCATTAAAGACAAAGGCACATTTTTCTCAAAAAAAGTAACAGGACAACAAATTGGAAGACGTTGTATTGTTAGTTAAATGTAAATATGTATACACCCTGTGCTCATAAATGCAGGCACTGTAGGTCAAAGGTCAAGTACCTCTGCATAGATACAACGATCAAGGTACATCCATACAAGGATGGCTATTTACACAAAAATTACAGACCTTAGAAAGTGTCTCAGGATTCGGCAATTGGCTACGGCAGTTAGGTGTAGGTACTGGTAATTCAGTACTAAGTTTTAAAAGCAGCTAAATAGCTTTGTCTATATGAGTATGTTCAGGAAATATTCTTTACAAGCTGTCAATATATCTTGTTTTGAAGGAAAAACTTGGGTTTAGGACTTCAAATAAACAGATAATTTCCACTTATGAACATACTCAGGTCAAGGTTCTTTAAATACAGTACTAACCTATTATATTAATGGTGAAAAAAACTATACTAGCACCAAATGAGTAGACACAGACAGAAAGTTCCCTTACATAAAATTATGTGATACAGGATAATATGGCTGGGGTTTGGTATTATCCAGTATGTTATGAAGCAATTTATTTGTATACAGATGATATTTCGCCTTAACATAATTTCCAATTTCCTTATAGATCATAATTTTAAAAAAAAAATTGAAAATTGTTTTTTTATTTTGTTGAAGTTGATAAAAGTTTACACTGGTTTATTGTTGGCAAGGAATTATTGAAATGAGTTTCAAGTTACCTCCAGAGGGTGACATGACATAATTTTATATATGAGGACTTTTCTGTTTGTATCAATACTCAAAGTATACATTTGTAATATACCAATTATTCACCTCAACTCTAGATATTTTAAAATATAACTACTATATATACCCCTTATGAATTCTCCCTGTAAATAGCTCGATCTCCTGACACAAGTTACCGTATTTGCTCTATTAAAAGCACATCTCAAATAGAAACGCACATAAACAAAACTTGCATTTATTTTAAGATGAATCATAAAAATACAACTTATTTTGACCAGAGACACCTGTGTCATTTAATATAAGCCAATGCATTACTGATAGAGCAAATATGGTATTGGCAGTGGAGATCATAGGAAAAAGGCCAACATCGGCGGTAAATAAACACAAGACAAACAAGTATATACACAACAATATAAATGACTGGAATTGAACGTCACATGGAGGGCTGATGAAGCCTGTAAGTGAAGGTGTCATCCAAACACACCGACTGTAACACAGAGTGTTTGTAAACATCTAATATTGTCACAAATGTCTAACAAGAAATAAATATACAGTTTTTGACAATTAAAAAAACACCAATGAATGTTTAATGGCCTTTGAATCCGTTCTCATATGGGTGTCATTAGTACACAAGTTTAAGTTGTCAGAGTCTAGCAATTATAAGGCTTTAAATGCTTTCACTGTGAACTTTTATGCATACTAAAATTACCATAGTCAGCTGTGTACAAATGTTACTGTCACCGCCATATTGGTTTGTATACAAATACTGATTGTTTTTTTGTGTGCATCTCAAGATTGTTACATGACTGGAGCTGGTTAGAGCAAACTATAAAAGGGTGCGTTGTTTGGGTAAATGCAGGAATTGTAACACAAACTTGAAACAGGTATCTTTTCAAGCTAACATTTTGAAAAAAACAAAAAAGATCACATAACACTTTAGACAAACATCGGAAACAGAAAAGATGGAACGAAAGAGAATGACCACATCAACAACACAAGTTAATAAATACATTTTGGTTAATATTTTTAGTAACTTTGCCATATTCCACACAGAAAATCAGACGATTAGATGAAATAAATTGAAAAGGAATTGATATTGTAGGCGATCTTCAATACTAGTTTGACTTCTCCTTTTGACGTTGGTTTGTCCCAACCTAAATCCAATCAGTCAACAATCATGACACACATGAACAGTCAGAAATCTGCAATATCATGGTGGCGATAGTAACATACAAACCAAATTCACTGATAGATAATATATAGGAGAAAACCTTTTGTAAGACCATCATTAATTGGCTCCCTGACATGCATGCTGATTACTGATTAGTGTTCTTAATATAGAAAACTATGAGGCATTTGTATGCACAGGACAAGAAACTATCAGTAAATTCATTGCACTTATTAAATTAACACCTGTACCCAACATGACACTTAACAATACATCAATAAATGTTCATTACCCCTATTCATGCTAATTATCTTAAGTTTACTAATTGGTAATCAAAATTATTTTTAAAAAAAATGTGTATAAAATGCATGTTAATGACAGAAACATTGCAATTAAGTGTTGTAACTGATCATTTGATTTATAGTAGTGTTCAGAAAGTTTAATTTATGCGGCCATATTGAGCTCTCAACGAGAAGACAAAAAGAACAGCTTTACCGAAAGAGGTCATTTCCAACCAGTCATACTTTTTTTGGGGAAATATGTAAGTTGCTCTACTATATGACCCTTGCAGATTCGGAGCATGACTAATATATAAGTAAACAAATATAGTGTAATTTATGTCATTTTTTGCTATTCAGGTCTTATTCGCACTCAGCCTTTTTATTTTTTGTTTAAAAAACAACAAAAAAAACAAATAACATTATAAAACCATCATATAAACCCAGTGCATAGTTCATGGTGATGTAAATCTAATACATCACAGCTTATGGGTGCATATTCCCAAAATACTACATACTGGAAACAGTATAACAAATACCATATACAAAATATACAAAACACGTAACTGTCACATATTTGTAAAAATCAGACTGCTGGTTGCATCTTTTGGAAGACACTTTGTCCACAGCTTAGTTCAGCCGGCCTCAGATTGAGTTACACTATAATCCTAATCTCAGTCCACGATGGTCAGCTAACTGTCCATGATGCACTGCTTCATCAAGAGTGTAAACTTCTGGTTGAGGATCTGGTGGCTCTTGTGGAATGGTGAGAAGAGGAGGAGCTTTTGGAACCAGTCAGCTGAAAAATCAAGATGTCAAAATGGAGATCTTGAGAGAAGTAAAAATATAATCATATGTCTTAAATTCAAGAAGGCAGTGAACCATCAAAAAATTCTTGGATGTGCACCTCGAATATCGTTTTTCAGGAGTGTGAAGACAAATCACAAATCACTGCCCACCTCTTGGTGTCTTTTAGCATACTGTTTAACACTACCCTCTGCTGCATAATGCCCATAATTATATCTCTTCATTGTAATATTACTCTCATTGTCTTGTTGGTTCTTATTGGAATCTGATTGGTCAAGTTCCTTGTTGAGGTCACGTCGTCTACGTCGACGTGTGTTGGTTCGAGATTCCTCGCTTGGTGCCACATCCTGATCTTTCTCCGCTGGTTGACTTTGCTGTTCTTCTATGACCCGGTTATCAACTTCATTAGGAACTGTGGGTGCAAAGTAAAACATAAATAAATCAGTAAATGCAGGCATTTCTTTCTTTTTCAACATATGTAACAATTCAGCATGTCATTTGGTTTTAGTCAGCACAAAAAGATCCAATCAATCAGTTATTTGGTCCAGACTATGGAATGCCACTTCATCATGTCAATTTAAATTTTCAAATAAGGGTGAAAATATAGTCTTTACTTACGCGATAGTTCATCTTTCTGAAAGTTCTCATCTTCATGACCCTTCTCAGGGGAATTTGTATAGACTCGTATTTGGTCAAGTATTGTAGTCTGGCCCTGTAAATAAAATTAGAAACAATAC